TCAGAGGCTCTTAACTGAAGATCTAATTTGCAGACTTTTAGAAGTAATCCTGTTTTGTCTGCATCTGAGGCCGAATCCTAGGTGGTTTCTGTATTCAGCCATCTTACATGCTGTTTGCTTGTGCTCGGGTACTAGCTTTAGGCAATCCTTGCCAAAGTGCGTTAGAATGTCTCAGTGGACAAACACATCAAGTTCACCAGGATATGGTCGCCTCAGAGCCACATGAAAAATAACAAGTTAGCCTTCTTAGACTTTGAGATCAGTAACGGGGGATATTTAGGTTGATGTGTACCATAATCACAGAGCAAACACCGTCCCCACAGATACAGTGGCCAGGGAAGCAGAAGAAAATCCTTTCAAAAAGGCCCCAAGTAAATGTGATTATCCCAGCTGGACATTTGTCAAAGCTGGGAAGGCTTTAAAGAATGCTCCAGGCAAATCAGAAGAGAAGGACAACTTCTGCCTAAGTGAAAACCTTTAGTGATCCCGTACTGCAGTCAGCTGAGACTGAAGAAGTCACAAGTCTAGATAAACAAAATCAGCCTTTTGGGAGGTTTAAAAAGAACATGGGGACCGAGATCATGAGGACTTTGAGAACAGAGGAAACCTACTGGTATCCGTGGTTCATAAAAACTGACTCGGTGTCTCGAGTCAGGTTCTTCATTGTTGTAGATATTAATCGTATCTTTCTGAGGTTCATTAGATAATGAACCTCAGAAAGATACGATTAATATCTACAACAATAAAGAAAACAGCAAAGAAAAAAAAATTATGGAAAATGCTGCAACACTCACAGTGTCATCTACAAAGAAAAAAAAACACACCTTCATGTGTGTGATGTCACTAAGGATCTCCTCCTCTCCTCTCTCTGCAGATCATCGTCTGGGGTGACTACGGTCGGATGGACCATAAATCATTCATGGGCGCTGCCCAGATTCTATTGGATGATCTGGACCTGTCCAATATGGTAATTGGCTGGTTCAAACTGTTTCCTGCCACCTCATTAGTGGATCCTGCGTTGGCGCCGTTGACCAATAAGGAGACAGAAGGTAGCAAGTCTTAGCATCAGGAGGCATGGCTGATTGGTCATAGACACGTTACAGGATGGGCCCTAAAACAAAGTCTCAGAATCCTCTGCTGCTGCATGCTGCATGATGACATCACAGAGATGACAATTCATGATGATGTCACTAGGACGATGAGGAAGGTGCTATTCCTGATCCGCCCACTGCGGGGGGAGACACTCAACAAAGGATGCTGGGTAAAGAAAGGAGTGGCCATGTGACCTCCAGCTGCCAGCTAATCACAGCAGCTCCTTGGAAGTCATACGACTGTTAAAGACACGTCAGGAACCCACTGGATTGAGTTATGTGATAGTATTCATGGAGACACAGGAACATAGAGGGGGCTTCTTTATGTTTATGCATGGAATGACAAAAACATTAGAACATAAACTCCATCGAAGAAAAACACCACAACAACCAGTAAAATCATGAAAACAAAAGAACATGAGAACCACAAACATGACAACATGTGAGAGCATGAAAATATGTAAGACCATGCCAGACTGTGAGAACATGAGAATGTTGTCTAAAACTTCAAAATAAAGATTCGTAAACAATCTCTGTGTTTCTGTTTAGGACATTATGATCAAGTTAGGTACATAACTCTGGTTTTACAAGGTTCTGATGATATTACTGAGAACACTGGTTCTGTGATTTTTACAAAGGTGACTGGATCTGTGAGCTTCTACACATTAAAATGTTTTGGGGTCTTTAAAAGTTCGCCTGTAGCTGACTCACTATTTCTGAAGCAAGAGTTCATTAGGTTCTACAAGTTCTATTGCACCGCTGACCCTGGTGTTTCTAAAAGATCCTACTACTCTATGGGTAATTGCTACATAAACTGGTTCTTAAATGCTTTTCTACTGTACTTGAGCAATCAAAGCGCTTTCTGCAACATGCCCCATTCACACAAGCACTTTTTTCTTTGCTTGATTGCTTTCTATCTAACGTCTGTGAAGGTTCTCAGTCATCCAGGTCATCGTAGTCAAAGGAGCTTGCAAAGAAAAGCGTCTGGACTTCTTTAAGTTGCTTGAAGACGTTTCACCTCTTCTGAAATCACTCCACACTTTGTTAACATTGTTAATGAAGTTGCAGCTGAAGATTTTCTGCTTGGTGTTGCAATGTCCTATTAGGACAAGTTTGTGTTTCAGAGGTTCTTGTCTGTGTGTTTGGGCCTCCAGTGAACTTCAGTGTTGAAGCTTCCATCCTCCTTAATGCACACAGCACAGTCCAGAAGCGGCAAACTGTTATCCTTTGCAGAGGTGGGAAGTAACAAAGGACAAATACTTCATTACTGTAGCAACATAAGTACAATTTTCAGTTATCTCTACTTCAGTAGTTTTTACTGACTACTTTTTACTTATCAAACTAAGGAGGACTGCTGCAGGTTAGTGCAAGATAAACTGGTTAGTTTACTGTACTGTGATAGGTTTAAAGTAAAGAACAGTGACAATGAAACCACAGCCACCGTGCACCGAGTTAGGTGACAACAAATGTAGCGGAGATTCAAAAAGAATAGAAATAAAAATTATTGTGAGTTGTGATTCCTTTACCCACACCGAGCTGTTCCAACCAATTTCATGGTTACCCCGTCTTTACACATTTTCCTATTTAGAGGCAAAGTCATCCTCTACAGTGTAGGCAACAGAAAATAGATATATAGTTTTTATTATCATTCTTTTTCCTCAGACTCAGCATAATCGGAATGAAAAAAGTTCGACTAAAGTTTCTTTATCACTATGTTAGCACAAGATTCAGTTAGCTTTGCACAGAAATAGAAACATACTCCTTTTTACTTTCTTACTCTGAGTACATTTCAAAGCCTGTACGTTTTTACTTTTACTTACTAAAGTAAAGAAGTTAAATCAGCATTTCAACTTTTACTGGTGTATTTTTAACAGAAGTATTTGTACTTCTACTTAAGCACAGAATCTCTGTACTGTTGGTGAAGTCAGTAGAGGTGTGATGGGGCATGTTCACCACAAGCTTAGGTCTCAGACAAATCATATATGATCCAGCATTTTTCAAAGAATGCAAACTTTAGCTGCCATAAAGGGGTAGATTTCCGATCACTGATCTCTCTGTGGATTTGCTGCACGGAGGATGTAACGTCTATGATAAGCACTGAGGTTTGTGTCCTTGTCAGGATTTCCAGGTTGGGAAAAGTGCAACAGAAGATATTCAAATACATCTCTCCACAGCTGCTGATAAATTGTACAAAAACAAGAAACAGTTTGTTAAAAACACTTCCAGGTGAATTTCACAACTGGTTTATCAGTGATATCAGTGAAAAATGACTGATAAGCAGAACTGGAATATATAGTTTATAATTTCAACAATGTACTATATAAAATGAGATGTGGTGTGTTTCTTATGTGATCTTTAACAGGGTGTTACAACACTTAAAAACGGTACTCATACTTTACCAGACTTTTAAAAGCTAGGTGTGCAGTTCCTAATTTAAATGCATTTATTCTTTAGATTCAGAAATCTAAGCGATCAGATTTTAAAGATAAATAATAATAAACAAAATGAAATCAATAGTGTCCTCTTCAATCTTGGCAGAGGGCAGTAATATAAATAATGAGAGAACTGACAGCTATTATTTTAATCACCCTGTTCTTTTAACTAGAAGTATCAGAAAAGTAATGTGGTAACATCTGGACTGATGTTTGCAGACAGTATTTTAATCAGAAGTTTAAAGGCTGCAGTCGTTGCACACACTGTGTATAAAATATAAATATTTTGATGCGCACCACACTTCTAGTGCTCTGTAGTATTGTAGTGAGGCACTTGGAAAGTGGTTGTAGGTGATTCATTTGATACTGCTAACAGTGGTTATGAGTGGGACTGATTCCCTATAACTAATGACTGGTTGGGTCACCCATAGCAGCAACAACTGCAATCAAGTGTCTGCTGTTTATATCTGCAATCTCATTCTTTTTGTCACTACCCAGAGCTTGTGACCATAGGTAAGGGTAGTAATATAGATTGACGAGTAAATCAAAATTCGCTTCTCTTCACTACAAAAGATCAATACAGCAGCCACGTCACTGCGGACACTGCCCCCAATCCAGTGGTAGCTCTCACACTTCATTCTCCACTCTTTTGTGACCATGACCCCAAGATACTTCAACTCTGCCACCTGGGAAATTAACTCGTACCTGACCTGGACTCCTGGGCACTCCTAGACTTGGACAAGGAGGTGCTGATTCTCATTCCCACTACTTCACATTCGGATGCGAACTGCTCCAGCTCAAACTGCAGGTCACCTGCTTGATGAAACCAACAAAACCACATCATCTGCAAAAAGCATAGATAAAATCCCAAGGCAAATGAAGCGGAGACCACTGTCCACCATCTGGCAAAACCAGATATTCTGTTCATTAAAAACTATGAACAGTATTGGTGACAAAGGGCAGAGTCCACTGAATCCACATGGACTGTGTCCCCAGGCTCCCTTGGAATGCAATCAAAGCTTTTTGGAGGTAGGAGTCTTAGGGGCCTCTGCTAGGTGTTGCCAGTGCACTCTCACTATGCATTTGGATACACCACATCAGTTCAGCATGTTCCCCTACCTGATCAAAGCCAACACCAAGTACCGATCAGTTGACAGCTCAGCACCTGTGTTCAATCAATCGAATTCATTTCACTTTGATCGGTGGCAAAATGCAGTGATTTAAGCTTTAATGATTAAATTGATTCAGTTTCACAGCTCTAACGTCACCTTACAAATAAACAGCGTGCACTGAGCACTCAGTCATAAAATGAATGAAAGTGAAATAATAAAATTTTTCTAAATAAATATAATTGATATTTGACACATTTGACAGGAGCTAAGTTCACTTACTTGCTCTGAATTACCTACTTTTTTTTTCACCTTTACCTTTATGTTCGTTCATGTGGAAAGCTGAGCAAAATAAAGAGAATACAAGAGACACTGGAGGTGAACCTTTAATGTTTAGTGCAGTTTATCAGTTTTTAACTACAAAGAAAAACACGAAATGGCCAAATTCATGCAGGCCAGAAAACAGCAAAACCACAACAACAAGAATAATAACTACAACAATAATAACCACATCATGAATAATAATAATAATAATAATAAATATACATAGTCACACACACACACACACACACAAGGTCAGCTGAGTACCAAAAACTGTAACAAACATCAGAAATGGCTTCAGTCTAGGAGTAGTGACGATGGGCGGGGCTACAAAACCTTTATAATTCAGGTAAGTCTGACTCGAGTTCTGATCCTCCGCTGTACCAAACCCTTCAGGTCCCATGTGAGCTGTAAACACTGACCTTTGACTTTCCTTTTCTTTGAACTGGACATGAGGGTCACATAATTTAGGTCTGGTTCTAAAATCAAACTCAACTGTTGAACATGTCACATTGTGCTTTACCGTCAATAGCCAATGAACATTCACCTACTCAAAACACCAAATATTTGACCTAATCATCCAGTGTCTCTTGAATAGGATGAAGTATTAGGGTCACATTAATAAAAAAAAAAAAGTGTCCATTTTTAGATTAAAGTTGAAATGTAAGCTCAAACTTGAAATAGTATTTTAAATTTTAAATAGTCAAAATGTGGAGATTACAGTTATTTCAAGCCAAAAAACTGCCACGGCTCCCATATCCTCTATAAAATGGCTTGTGCAGATAAGTTAGTGAAACAAACAGATGATCCGTCTTATTGTGTTTTGTGATACAACCATTGGTATCTTTGCATCTGTCCATTGCCAGCCATTTCATTTTGCACAAATCCGACCCACTCTTTCAAGTTTGTGTATTTTTTTTCCTTCTGACCAGATGCAGCTTTCTGGCACCATCTCTTCAGTGTCATTTTGTTTATGAGCTAAAAGAGAAACAAGTTTCTATAATGAAAATCGATTCTGAAGTCATTTCACTAACTCAGCTACACAAGGCATTTTGTAGAGGGTATAGACGCCGTGGCAGTTTGTATTGAAAATGTGATTTCCGCGTTTTGACTGTTCTCAAAATTATGAGTTTATTATCTAAATAATCAATAATATATATATATATATATATGTTTTTGCCTAATGTGGCCCTAATATTCCTTCGTACTTGGCACCACTCTCAAGTGACTGCAGGCGACAGGAGAACCTGTTGAACTCAGCTCTTCCTCAGTTTGTGTGCAGTACCAAAGGAAATAACCTGAACTCTGATGTCAGTGACTGAAATAAGGACCAATGAGAGTAAAGGAAATGCCAACTGAACTTTTTTGGGGGAGGGCTATATGTGGCCTGGCCTTAGAAGAAGCGTTTGGCTGCCTCCAACAGTCAATGACCCTCTCCTGCTTGGGAGCTCTACAATTCAGTCGTACCATAAGGTGGGCAGTGCCTTAACAGACAGACCGGGAAACAGAGGGACTGTTTTTAAAGTTGTACCAAATAAAATTCAATTTGTGACATCACTCAGTTTGTTTACCTTTGACATCACAGATCCAGCTAGGGTGCTATAATATAATAATCCCACCCCTCTGAGTGTCTGAGGAGTGAGTTGTGTGGCATTGTGCAGTGCTATCCTGTCAGTTAGCATGTTGTTAACATGCTAACTGACAGGCTTACGGCTGCACTTAGTGTAGTTAGAACACTGAAGGAGTAGGGCTAGCGTTAGCCTTTCAGTTAGCCTGTTAGCACAGCAGCAGCAGCTCATCATCACTGCTCTCTGTTTTGCCAGTCGCTTCCAGGCAAGCATCAGGGATCTGAGCTGTGTGGACCATTCCGCAGTGTTCACAGGGGCCATCCCGCCCTCCTCGACCACTGTTCCCATTGTGATGGCGGGGGGCATGGTTCACGGTGGAGGAGGGGTATGACTCGAGCAGAGGTTGTCGGATGTCGCTGACAAGCAAGGACGAGGAAGAGGAGTCTGAGTCAGAGATGGGGATCAGGAGCTCCACATCTTCGTCTTCCTCTCCACTCCCCCGTCGCTCTGTGACTTCAACCCCACCTCTTCCTGTCTCCAGCTGGTGCAGTGGGCTATGATTGGTCCAGGTCTGGCTCTGCTGGTTCTGACTTGTTCTTGTCAGATTTCTAGCTAAGCGGTGCAGGTTTTGGGCCAGGCGCTGCAGGGCAGAGGCAGCTGGGGCAGGGAGGTCAGAGGTGTCACTGTGACATTCGGGATCTGGACTGGAGGTTACTATAGTGACAGGGCTGGATGGGGGCAGGGCCTCTCTAGGCCTGTCATTGTCTCGGCCAGATGTCAGGGTCACAGAAGGTGTCACCGAAAGCACAGCCTCTACAGCGGAGGGAGGCGGGGTCTTCTGGGGGAGGGGTGCAACAGGTCCACCCACTGCACTGATGCCTCGCCCTCGCTCGCCCTCAGTGTCTGTGTCATCCGAGTCTGGAGACAACAGGTCTGAGCCGGAGCTTCCGGTGCTGCCAGTGCCAGCGCTGTCCTCCAGGTCTGCAGAGACCAGAGCCAAAGAACCTGAGCGCCGGGACCGTGAGAAATTAAAGAGGCGACGCCACAGGTTGCTACGACGACCAGAGGAAGGCAGCCTGAGGGATGTGAAGCCAAGCTGAGAGCGGACCGCCAGACGAAGATTTTCCAGGACAGAAGCCTGAGGATAGAGACGAGAGAACCAGTTCAAACTGGATCTACCTGAAGTCCCTGAGGACCACATAGAGTCACCTTTAAAAAGGTGGTATTTAACCTCCATTTGACCTTGGACCTAACCATATGATCATTCTTCATTGTACAGAGAGAGTGTGCGCAAAAACTTTAATCAGGAGCTTCCTGCTATGTGAGATAAGAACTGTACCTGGCTCCCTGAGCACACTGGGAAATCCTCCACAGGTGGGATCAGTCCCTGCGCAATCAGCTGACCATAAGAGGGCGGGGCTTCCCTCCTCAGCAGCTCCGCCTCCACTCTGGACAGCTGGGTCTCAAATGACCTGGAACAACCAATCACAAGCCTTGACTCACAATGAGTTCAGAAGCACGAGGTGAACAGAAATGTGTTGACTTTCTTACCTGCGTTCAAACATGCGCAGAGAGTACAGCTTGCATGTGCAACCAAGGGCAATGACCAATAAGAGGCCACAGATGAGGCTGCCAATGACGGCAGCTGTGATGACTCGTGTGGGAACAATGACAGGACAACTCTCCTCGTCGCTGCCATCCCCACAGTCATCCTGTGCGTCACAAACCCACGACTCAAACACACAGCGATTATTCTGAAGGGATCAGACACACAGGGATCAGTCAGAGGTTAAAGTGTTCTAGTCTTCTGTAACTGGATGTTAAACATGCCTTTCTCTGTATTAGACAGAATGGCACACACCGAAAGTCAAATGTGGGAAATGTGACTTGGACTCCACAAAGTTGTCCTGATGCTGCCTTAATGCGATCGGCCTCAAACCGAGATGTGTTTGGAGTTATTTGGTTAGCATTTCTAATGTTTTAGCTGTGATGTCAGGCGTTTGGAAGGCATTTGTAAACTACATCTATTCAATTTTATTTATACAGCGCCAAATCACAAAAACAGTCGCCTCAAGGCTCTCTATATTATAAGGTAGACCCGAAAATAATGCATACAGAGAAAAACCCAACAATCATCTACAAAAGGTTGAATATGGAACCTGCTTTAAACAAAGTTCACCTCCAGTTTATTGTGTGAGTGAGATCATATGTCTGTGATGATTCACAGGACCACCCTACTGCTTCTCATTTGATTTGAATCGTTAAAGACTAAAGTCAGAACACACCAGTCTGGTCTTACCATCGTACCTTACAGTGGAAGTTTCCTGGCTGACAGAAGAAGCAGTTCTTCTCATCAGAACCATTGGGGCAGCGGTTCTGGTAGTTGCAGCGGTCCGACCGAGGGTAACAGGCTCCATTTCTGGAGCAGGGGAACTCATCCTCCTGACAAGAGGAGCAGTTTAGCTCATCCCGACCGTTGGGGCAGTGCCAGTACCCATCGCAGCGCTGCTGCTCGGTGTAACAGCCCCAGTTCCCCCCGCATGGAACCTCCCAGGGCAGGCAGAACCCATCCACCTAAAAACAGGACCACAAAGACTACTTAATCAAGAACAATAGAACAGAACACGGCCACCTCAAAAATCAAACACACCTGGTAGGTGACGTTGAAGCCTCTGGCCGCATTGATCTTGTCAGCGTAGAAGTGAACTCGGAGCTGACCGGATGATGAAACTACAGCGACCGGCGCTCTGGAGTCAAAGGCAGTCAGCACCCTGAGGAGGCGACGGGGGTTCTCCTCCAGCCCGTCATAGACTTTGACATAGTCGCCATAGCCAGTCCCATCAAGTTTAAAATCTGTGAACCTTAGAATAACCTGCAGGAGAAGACAGGAACAACATCAGGAATGTTGATGTCCTTTGCTACCCAAACACACTCAGGGATCAGAGGTTACCTTTCGGTGGTCTCCAGTGTCAATCAGCCAGGTGCAGTTACTTCCTGGAGGGTAGAAATCAGGATAGTTTGGAGAGCTGAAAGAACCATAGAAGTTCCTCAACAACTCGCCACAGGTGGGAACATCACAGTCTATCTCATCGCCAAGGTCCTGAAAGAGACGTTGTGACACACCAAGTTGAAGACATGGTCAGCAGTCCGGCCCAAGGAACCCCTGAAGTGGATTGTTGTGTCCTTTGGAGACCAGGCAGAGTCCCGATCACCTGAGCTCTAAAGCACTGGGTTAAATCTTCAACATATGCTCCTTCTCATAGATGTAACAACTTGTAGCAATATGTTGTGTAAACACAGCATTAGTACAATACTAATACCTCGTAAGACATAAACAGCTATATTCATATTAAACATGCTTACAATCCTAACGCCATAGCTCGCATTCTGCTCATCTTTAGCTCTGACATGATGTCTGCATCATAAAGAGACCATTTCATAAACTCCAACAGATCAGCTGAAGTTACACTCACGATAGCAGAGCAGCACAGGCGTACCACAAACTATGGGTGACTTAACGGACCCTTATAAATCTGTTAGATCTGAGTCAGCAGAACTCTTTGTGGTGATTAGCCCACATGTGCTGTGAGTGGTGCACCCGAGGATATGCATTGGGCGAATGGTAGGAGTAGCGGTTCGGTACTCCGGCTGCCTGTTATTGTTTGACACATTAATGTAAGTCACATAAGCAGCAGCGGCAAGTGGACGAGGAACCATTTGAGCAGTTGCAATGGGTCACCTAGGTGGCGTGTTACCTGGCAGTCTATGCTACCGTCGCAGCGCAGGCTGTGGGGCAGGCAGGTGTAGATGCGGGTGTAGCGAGACAGGCAGGGGAACTGGTTCAGGCTGCAGGGCTGGAAGGAGAACGGCGAGTCCACACACATCTCCTCATCTGAATTGTCGCCGCATTCGTCCATCGAGTTACAGCGCCACCAGTCTGGGATGCACTTCCCATTTGAGCAGTGGAACTGGTCCACATCACAGCTGGATGCCAGCGGCTTACCTGCACACACAGCAAATCTTACTTGTTTCCCATCCAGAGCATCAGCCTCTACTCCAGTTACATCACCAATAGCACACAGTGTTTCCTCACCGCTGATGTATGACAGTCTGAAGCCCTTTCCCGTCAGGCTGTCATCCGAGTGGAAGTGGATCCACAAATGGTCCTGAGAGGAGATGTAGGGTGGTGGCAAGGAAGAGCCACAAACCCGGAGTCCGTCCAGGTTCCTGTAGCTGCTGATGGACATCCAGTCTGAGGTGCAGCGATGGGAACCCTGTAGGTCAAAGTCCTGGAAGCTGCAAAGACAGAACAGGGAGGGCATTGTGAGAGCAAAGATGGGGTTAAAATGAGGATGTGGTTGTTGCTTTTCACTATGTGCCCTGATGTGGGTGTGGCAGCTGTAACTATGGAGACAGTAAGTGTAGTACCTGATGGTGATGGCATCTCCAGGTCGCGCCCTGATATTCCAGCTGCAGTTCAGTCGGGCTGGATACTGGAAGGGCCATCCGGGGCTGGTGATTATACCGCTGGATGCCCGTAGGAGCTCTGCCACATCACTGCAGGCTGGGGGGGCAGGGTTGGACTGTTAGTGTGACACTGTGTTTGTGGGTGTGTGTGTGCCATTAGTGCTGCCCTGATGTCTAGATGTGACTGTGACCTCACCATTAGAAATCCCTGACACATAGACATTTTCATTCCTCTGAGAGACAGCAATGCATCCTGGGGGAAAATCACAACAGCACATGGTTAGAAGTGATGTCATATTGATAACAGTCTGACGTACAGCTGATGAACCGCTGGATAATGCTGTTCTTTATTCTGTTAGTTTTTGTCTTTATGGAGCTGAAACGTCTGCCTGAAGGTAGATGTTGAAACAGTACATGACCAGAATGTTATGGGCCTGGAAGGAATTTGTTAATCTTCCTGAGAAAAGAGGAGGAGAGGATATCTGACGATCTGCTAGGCAACCTGTACAGCCCTGCGTAGTGCTCTCTTCTGTGCTCCTGTGCAGCTGGAAAACCATGCAAGGAGACAGTATGCCAGGTGATCACCCTGATTCATGAGCAGCTTATTTGTATATGTTTAGATCATGGACTCAGATGATCCCCCTTGAAGATCAGATAAGGACTTTTGCAGTCAGTTTACAATCATATTATGAAGCTTTGAATGTTTTTGCTGCAGCCATCTTGCTGTTTTAAAACAGAGTGAGAGCTGGAGCTTACTGTGAAACTGCCCCATTATTGGCTAATGACCTGTCAATCAGTCATTAGTATATCCTTAGTAATCAGGACTTCATATTTAAATCACTCAAACAAATGACTGAGCCCCTAAACTAATCGGGAACGTGTCTACGGAGGTCAGGGGTCAGGTTTCACACAGACTAAAGAACTACAGGTACTTGGCCTTGGTGATCATTAGAAAAAAAAGAATGCAGGTTTGCTTTTCACATCCACAAGCTTTAGTCATTGTTTATCCTGTCTGTGGTCTTAACACAGTGTTCTACATCCAGCAAGTTCCTATTAAAAGTTACATGTAAAAAAGAAAAAGTTAAACAGGATGGACAAAAAGCTGAAGGAAGATAGCAGATGATACTTCATGGGAGGATTCTATTTTGAAAATTTGGCATCTTAAAGACTGCTCAATCTTGCAGGGTCAAATAGCTGGCCAATGCTCAACATTGTTAATTTTCAACAATTGATAATCAAATGTTACAAGTTTGACCACCAGGGGTGCTATTTTGCCAGTTTTAGTGTAGTTGTGTCATAAAGCAGTCTGAGGTCGGGTGTTGCAGTGGTTACAGCTGTTAAGGAAAAAGGATCAGACTTCCTGTCCTTTCTGTGGTATCTGTTCTCCTACAGACTAAAGAGCTTGCTGGTCAACTGGTGATTCTTATTGGTGGTAAGTGCTAGCCCTGTGGTGGACAGGACCTAGTCAGGTGTACCTGCGTGTCATTCTGACTCCAGCCCAAAGTGGTTAAGAGAAGATGGTCCCTGTTAAGATACTTGTGAAGCCCTGATCACTTACATAGACCGTTTCATTATCGTGATTGTTATTATTACTGAACCATGCTCAACATCTTCAAGCTTTAATAGAAACTGATTGATATCTTCCAACTGCTATGCTTACTACACAGAAAAAAGGAGTAATGGCTGTAGTGACACCTGTCAACAGATCACAGCAGACCGAATGTAAAGTAATCTGTAAGAGCCATTTGCAGCTGTCACTACTAGATGGTCTGTCCTTCCACATCTGCCTCTCCATTGTACTTCCGCTTTCTCTACTGGTGGATTTGGAGCAGATTGGATGCTGCAGTAACGCACTGTGGGGCCCTGAGCACACACTGATATAGCAAGATCTGTACTGTGAAATATTACAGATTCAGGTCCAGGTTTTTGGGACATAAAATCTGGGTGACAGTTAATCCTGGAAGGCTATTAACTTAGACTGGTAAGTGCCCACAATCACTTCCTGCCACATGTCTATGTTAAACATTAAATTAAGTAACACTAGCTTGTAATACTTTGTCCTTGTATGGTTACAGGTGTACAGCCCTGCCCTTCTGCAGTCTTCCAGACGCACTTTATTCAGGACAAAGTAGGTTTTCAGGAAAGGGGGGAAGTCTTAAAGAGACAGGACCCGGCGTCATCAGAACAAAACATAAGTGTACACACCTGACAACAGGTCAGTCTGCACTTACCTGTGAGGAGGAGCAGGCAAACCACACCCTGCCTGCAGTCTGTTCTGAGGGCCATGCTAACCCTGATGTTATGATGAAGATAATGGTGAAGAGTCCAAGGTCACAGAGCTGAGCGCTGCATGTCAGCTGTTAGCAGACCTCGGCTCCGAACCGAGCGGCTACCGAGGATAACGGATCTCACCGATAAACCCGGCATTCAATTAACACAGACACGAGCCGCTAAACGGGACGTTAACAAGGTTGGTCCGCATAATGTGAAGAACCTCGGTTAGCTCGCAAACAAAGAGCCGCTAGCTGCCGACTAACAGGCTGACGCTAAGAACACCGGCCCGTTAGCTTCAACATGCTAACGGGACAGAGTCATCCGACCCGGAGCGGGGGGCCCGAACCGGGTCAATCCGAGCTCACGGGACCGGCACCGAGTCAGCAGCAGTAGTGTCGATCTGATAGTATGTGTGAGCGCATTTCCGTGCGAAGCTATTAGCTTTTAGCTTCCGTCGAGCCGAACAACAACAACAGACCGCAGAGAGAATCCCCGCCCCTTTGACAGTGGCGTCACTAACATGGCCCCGCCGTTTTTGTCATTTGTTGGTTTATGTGAACTTCCTGTTTCCTGAAGATGCCAAAGCACTTCATTAATCAAAGAGCCTAACGTCCTTCATATGTTCACTACATGTATGTATATGTATATATCTGCGTCACACTCTGCGCCTGTGTAACTGAACCGGTTCATCTAAAGCGCTTTTCTACTGTATTTGAGCACTCAATATGCCTTAATAATGAATCAGTCATCAATATATTAGGACAGAGAATACGACTCCATCAGTGATTGATTAGCAGCTCAGATTCAAATCTCCAGTCTCAGTCTTTGTAGTTGAGAGACTGAGTGGACAGTCTGATTGTAATCTGATCAGGAAATGAGAACATTTCATGTGAAATAAAATCACACACACAGACACCCATTTTCATGTGCAGACTCATGTTATGGGATTTATTATATGAAAAGTGGAGCTGTACAAGAATTGAAGTACCCCAATGGAAGGATGCAGGATGACGGTCTCAGCGGATTTTCTTCCTGAGTGAAGACAGAGTGAAGTGAGGGCCTTAGCCTTTGATTTCAGCAACTGTTAACTAATGTAAACATAAAGAAAAGCTTCAGTGACTGTCAGCTCAGATTTATTGTGTTTTGGATGACTGTATATCCTGTTTTAAATGCTTTGACTTATTGACATATTAACACCTGGACACACACACAAACAGCTAAAAAGAAACATGGTCTGACTCCTACCTAAATATATAAAGAGTAACTGAAGGTTAAATGCAGCTAACATGTCCTGTTTTAAGCCAGGCACTCACACCTCCCCTCCACTGCATCTCAGCCACCATCGCTCTGGCAGTAAGGGCGCTAGAGCCAGAGTAGGGGAGAGGCAAGGTGGAACAACCTATTTTGTTTGGGGGGGGGGGAATATCTATACTTTTGTTGTTAAAATATTACCTCTCAACCAAGTACTGTATGGTTTTTATATTTTTAACAGTGTGTCACACAAACAGCAAATATTGTCCAAAAAAAAGGAAGAAATCTTTGGGGATGCTTTGATTCATTTTGGGGGTGCTGAAGAACATCCAGGTGCTAAAAACGCCACTTGCTGAGAACCAGTGTCACGGCCTTTAAAGTTCTGGCATTTATTTCGTGGAAAAATATAAACAAAAAACAACCCAATAATTTCTTACAACTTAAACATAAACAAAAGTTAACTTAATCTGATTTAACAAGTTCTAAAAGTGGTCAAAAATCCTTTTAAACCCTCTCGTTGTCCCATCTGACATTTGGCAACTAAAACATTTCCACTACACCCCTCCAGGTTTCTCTTAATCCCTTAACTATTGGAAGGGTCCAAAAGTTAACAAACTAATCACTTTTACAAACCCTTTCCAAAAGCAAAATTAATTACAAATTTACATAGCAAAACTAGGTAAGCATAGTCTTATTGTTATAACAAACACAACTTTTTAACAAATGTGTATTTTATTGCAGGGAATAGGTAAAGTTAAAGTTTAACAACAAACACCGAGCCTCACTTTTGATATTCGCAGACAACATGAAAGAACGGGGATTCAAACACTCTCATGCAGCCTTTTCTATTAAAATACCTCATATAGCACTCAATCTGGAACCTGAACACAGTGAAATATCTTCATTTTTAACATATTTATGGCTGTGATGAACCAGCATCTCTCTCATGTGTTTTAGTACCTGTGACATGACGGTCATGAGCCTGCACACAGACGTCGTGTTGAACAGATGGTGCTGTGGTGAGGTCAGAATAACTAAGAGCTCATTACACTCAAAACTGAGACTTTTTTGTCTGATTGTAAACACCCTTGAAAGTTACATGTTGCTACTAGGGGCGTCATAGTGGAGGCAAAAGTGATGCTGAGATAAAGACACCCAAGTAGCCAAAGGAAGGAGGCAGCCGCAAGTCTCTCTCTTAAGCATGTAACACAAGATGAGCTCATACAGTGGCAATTAAACGTTTTTAAACAGCAAGTAGCTTTTATTGGTGTGGTTTGCTTTAAGGTGGATTTAAAAATTTGCATTATTTTCTAAACAGAAAAGAGTTCCGTTTATTTCAATATATAACACAGAAAACCAAGACATAATTTTTTCAATAATCTTGGAGTGGCCAAAAAGACGTGACAGGCCGTGACATCACAGTCAACACAAGTCCATAAAGCCAAGTGAAACTGCACACTGGACAAGCACATTTCTCACCTACAGTCACGAGCAATTCACTGGATGAACTTTTGTTCTGCTACCCTCAGTCGTATCTGAATATCTGATTCATTGTAACACTGTAGCTTTGTTTTAAATGTCAAAAATGAGCAACCAGACAGGAAAACCAGAATTTGTGTGCACTCTGCCAAAAAGTACACTGGATGACCTTATTCAGGTTAGGGAAGTCTTCCAAAACACCCTGTCTGAAAATCAACTTTTAAAAGAGGATACAAAGTCAGCCAGGCAGCAAATCAAACGGCTGATGCCCCAAATTTCACTGATGCGTGCCAAGCTGGACCAATATGAGATCCAAGCTGGAGAACTCACCGATGAATCAGTGTCATGTAAAGTGGAAATGAGCAGTGCCACCAAAGAAAAAGGGGATCAGACTTGTCCAGGTCAGGAAAAGTCCAGAAACTTTGAAGTTGAGATGAACCATCTGAAAGAGCAGCTTCAGCAGAGGGACAGCAAAATCCTGATCCTGAAACAGGAGAAGGACAGTCTGTCTGCCGAGCTCGCACAGCTTCAGAAAGACAAGAAACCAGAGTTTGTGTGCACTCTGCCAAAAAGTGCACTGGACGACCTTATTCAGGTTAGGATAGCCTTCCCACAAACTGTGTCTGAAAATCAGCTTTTAAAAGAGGATTCATAGACAGCCAAAGAGCAAATCAAACAGCTGATGGCACAAATTTCACTGATGCGTGCTAAGCTGGACCAATATGAGATCCAACCTGGAGTAGAAAAAGAAGAACAGACTTGTTCAGGTCAGGAAAAGACCATCACCTTTGACCGTGAGATGAACTGTCTGAAAGAGCAGATTCGGCAAAGGGACAGTGAAATCCTGATCCTGAAACAGGAGACGGAAAGTCTGTCTGCTGAGCTCGCACAGCTTCAGAAACACAAGGCCTCTCTGAAAGAAACTATGTGGAATGAGAAAGCACACAGAGAGAATCTGGAGCAGGAGAAGACAGTCCGTGAGGAAAAAAATAAGAAAGTCCCGGAAGAGCAGAAAGTGGTGAAGGACACAAAAGAAATGCCGAAAAAACTGGATGAGCAGACAAAAGAATTTGCGGAGGCTAAGACAAAGACAGTAGAGACTCCAACCCCAGAATTGTCCTCATCAGAAGTCTGATACACGTCCTCGTGTATCAGAGCGCAGAGAAGAGCGGTTTCAAAACACCACCAACAGATGACCAAGTGGAAAAAGCACTCGAAAAACAGACAAACTATACTGAACTCGCAAACAAACAGTGCGAAGAAGCAAAAAAAGCGCTGAATGGGGGAAAGGTTGTGTGTCAACAGAGTGATAAAGTTGGTGGTTTCACAGGCCATAGAAAAAGTCTCCTCTAAATACAAGCTCTTCACAGAGCGCCTCACTCTTGACTGCATCAGCGATCGCCTGATTGAGAAAATCTGGCCTGAAATTGAGCTAAAACATTTGGATCTATCCCTAAAATGGCGGAAAAATCTAGACAAGGCCATTCTCAAGGATCTTTGCAAGACACACAACTGCAAGGAAACATATTTGATTTTTAATCTGAGGGAACAACTTGATAATATTACCGTCCAACCTTCACCAAAAAGCTGTTGTCGTTACCAAGAAGAGTCCTCAGTGTCTCTAAAAACAGGGAAGAGTACAAGGAAGTGGTGAAAAATGTCACTAAACATCTGGTAATGCATGCCATGAGCCAAGAAAATGAAGCGACAACATGGCATCCAGGAACATCAGATTTTATTATAATTTTGTCCATAAACTACAAAATGTCCTTAGAGAACATTGAACAACTCAGCCTGACAGTATACAATGAACTCCATGACAGGTGGGATTCTCCAGTACTCTTAATGAAGTCAAGCAACCCAGTGGTTGACGAAGCAATCGTCAAAACCTTCAAAAACCATGCCATGTGATTATGTGACAAAACTCTTAAATTGGCTTAAAATATTCATTTAAATTGGGCATCTAAATTTAATTTTAAAACAAGAGTGGTTAAAAATAACCCCTCTTCTTCTCCCAACTTCCTTCCCTCATCACCAACTGGCTGAGGCAGATGGCCACCCCATCCCAGAGCCTGGTTCTGCTGGCTCTCTTTTAAAAGTGAGTTTTTCCTTCCCGCTGCCACCAAAGTGCTTGCTCTAGGGGGTTGGTGTTTTTGTGCATTATTGTATGGTCTTAACCTTACAATATAAAGCATGAGGGAAATGTTATTGGAGTTTGGTGCTGTTACTTAACTCAAAATGTCCAATTACATTTTGAGTTAAGAAACAGCACCAAACCACAAAATAAAATAAAATAAAAAAGATCAAATAAAAAATGAATTTGTTAGCTGGTTACATTTGTTTAAATATTCTATTTCTGTGTTCCAGATCCCCAGAATTTTCTGTCTGCCAGTGTGTCATGCAGTTTTCAAGATTAAAGACCTTGGCAAAGAAAAGAAAAGTTCCCCACTCCAGCTCTTGGAAATGCACATAGCCTTCATCAGTGGTGGTCCTGGCCTGTTTGGCGCCCTGGGTGAACACTCCCTCTGGCGTTCTTGTCAATTTTCTTGATATTTATTTATAATCCCCTCTGTTAATCCTTGATATTTATAATTGAGTGATCTGTATATATTAGTGCTATTTCTTAAATGTTTAAAATCTGTAACCTAATGTATTGTTTGGAGTTTAGTCTGTTACTGGTACTATTTTTACAATTTCTTCTTGGAACAACTGTAACCAACATAATTTCCTTAGGGATTAATAAAGTATTCTGATTATGATTGTTTCAGGATGCCCTGCCATTATCCAATTACACATCTGCTTACCTGTATCATTTGCTCGTTTCTCCTCCTCTTCTTTTCTATTTTTTCTAAACTGAGGACCTGATGGCTTTGAACTTTCTTGTCCATCTTCCATTGGTTTTAATTTTGCACTCCAGTATGAACACCCATCCCCCAACCCGAGGATCACCACAACATAACCTAATAGACCTAGACCTTAGTTCACAGATTCACTTTGTCTAAGGTTTATTTCTGGGATTTCACACAACCCAGGATTCAAATCATGAATACATAATGGGCTAGGATTGATATGGAATGCCAGGACTGCCATAATAAATTAATTAAATACACCATTAAATAATTAATTAAATGTGCCAATATCTAATTAAAATTGGAAAGAATTAATTTTTTACAGTGCAAATACAGTTTGATGACTTTAAATCATCAAACTGTAAATTTAGAAAAACGATCGGTGCCTGTGCCATCCCCAAAATGCGCTGGCATGATGTTGGGGCAGCAACCTGGTTTCATTTAGATTTGTTTAGATTGTGTTCACCCTCAGACTGACACATCTGAATTAAAACTGATAAACAGAATTTAAAAGGAGGGAGCCATGGACACAGCAGCAGATCAGTCCTTGTAGGAACAGGACATAAGTTTAAGTAAGAGGGGGGATAATCTGATTGTGATCATTTTTGATCTGACTCAGTGGTGCTGGCTTCTCTCCCGGACACATCTTCCCTTTACATGCGGGTCACTGATGTAGAATAGAATAGAATAGAATAGAATAGAACTTTATTAATCTTTATGGGAAGGTCAATTTATTGTTCATTCTTGAGGATGTGGTTTCTGTGTCTGTTCTTCCCATCCTCACATACAGCTCAACTTTAAAAGCAGTGCAGCTGCATGGTTGCAGATGTTTGTTCCCTATTGTGATGGCTGCAGTTACAGCCACAGATATTGGGTAATATCTGCCAAACATCACAGTGCTGCAATAGAGACTTATACATAACACTACACTAACATTTTGCTTTTCTTTAAACATAGGATTCAATTTACAGGATAGTAAAGAATTGTTTTGGTTTAGAATTTATTTATTTATACAATCACGTGATCCTGTATTCTAAAATAAATGCACATATTTTACTTTACACTGTTATGTGTATGATTTAGCCTTTATTTGTTTTCTGAGTTACCTGGGTGGCAGTTCTTCTAGTCCCTTGGTTGATGAGCTAAGAGGTGGAAAAGGAGCGGAGCAAGCCTATATGGAGACTTGCAAACTGGGTGATATGAGGAAAATTACTCATATTTTCCTCATATCGCCCAGTCCTAATTTCTAGCACACACTACAACAGGCAATAGAGTATAGTATACAGAAACATCTGTGCTGAGGAATGGCCTGGATGTCCCAAGGTCAAAATGGGAGATGCCAGCTAAGGTGGTCGAGAATGACTGAGCTAAGATCCTGTGGGACTTCCAGATACAGACGGACAAAGTGGTGGTGGCTAACCAGCGGGACGTAGTCATACAAGCTAACCCTCCCGATTTTTCCGGGAGAATCCCGAATTTCAGTGCCCGTCCGGAAAATCTCCCGGTGTCACCATTCTACCGAATTTCTCCCGATTTTCCACCCGGACAACAAAATTGAAAAACCATATCCCAGATTGGCCCAGCTAATTCCAGCTTCCAACTACTACTACTACTGCAGCAACTTAGTTTTAATATTACCCTTATTACTCTTTCTGGGTCGCAAAATGAACTATTAAGATATTTTCAGGCCAGAATGTAGCTGCGTAAACTTCAAATATCTGAGCCGGGGAGAACAGCAAACTCCCCGGCAGAGGTCGTGTCACTGTAACTATGACTTTCTGCCAGAAGCTCGAGGCGTCACCAGCAGGCCCCGCCCTCGAGCTGTGACACGTGACCTCTAACCTTCGGTTTCACGTGGTTGAATCGAGGAGGATAGAAACGCGTGGAGCGACCGGAGAGGAGCGATGAAGAAAGCAGGGGGCAAAACAGCGTTGAAGAGGAGTAAAGAAGGGGATGAGGAGCAGAACCAGGTGAGCCACACACACAGGAGGAAAGTGATGAAGATCTGGTAGCATGCTAGTAACGAGCTAGCATGCTAACACGGGGCAGGCTGCTGTTTAGCCCTCAGAGCAGACACAGAGCCATGAGACCGGACCGGGGCGTTGCTGCTTCTATAATAAACACAGAACTATCCTCTGTGCACATGTGTGATGTCAGTCTCGGGTTAGGGCTCCGTTATAATATCGGAGTTTTAAAAGGAAGACCTCCTCAACTCAGATTTTAACTCGCATTGTCGGAGCAACCTCACCGACCCAGAGCTAACGATCCAACATGGAAGCAGTGACGTAAATGGCAGTAAAACTGTGACGGAACGAGTCAAAGGAGCTTGCAAAGAAAAGCGTCTGGACTTCAAATAGAACTGAAGAAGCTTCTCGGATGAGAGGTGAAACGTCTTCAAGCAACTTAAAGAAGTCCAGACGCTTTTCTTTGCAAGCTCCTTTGACTACGATCACCTGGATGACTGAGAACCTTCACAGACATACTGTGACGGAACGAGCACTGCAGCAGGTAGTGTGTCAGAGTACATGTGTACGGTTAGGGTTGCACAGAGTGACGTCAATCCTGAGTATAAGTTTATCCTGATTTGACATGTTTTGCTTTTAGTTGCTGGTTATTGTTTGATTTAAGTGTGTGTGATCACTCACTCGCACATGCTATTAGCTTGTGCGAATTATTCGTAGGTTTTATTTTTCTGCTCTTTAATTACACTCTTCTTGGAAATCTCAGCAAAAAACTGATGGTTTTTTTAATTGAGTAATTCTGGGTTTTCCTTCTCAGATCTTCAACTTTAACAGGAAACCTGCTGATGAAGATAAGGATGATGATTTATCAGATAGCGAGGACAGTGTCTACTCAGGACTGGAGGATTCTGGGAGTGACTCTGAGGAGGAAGAGGGATCTGATGAGGAAGAGGGATCTGATGATGATGACGACAAGGTAAAGTGTAAGCAGATAAGAGGGGTTTTAACTCTGTGTTGGTCTGACTGCTGATTGGTTGCTGTTAAAAGTGTCCTCAGTGTTCTGCTGCAGAACATCACCTGAACTTTGTTCCATCTGTAGATGAAGGAAAAAAAAGAGGGAGAAGTGAGTGAAGAAAAGAAGAAAGATGAGTATGAACACGATTCTTCAGATGAAGAGGTGATCTAAACTTATTCATTTGTGTGCTTGTCATTACTTTTCTTATGCTTGTGCCTGGTGTGCTGGTATGCAATTTTAGCCACATGTACACTAATAAAAAGCTGGGAGATTTTTGCTCCTGGTGAAGCTCAGAGTTCTCTGTTTCACCCGATGTTGACCTTTATTAGCCTGAAAAAGCTGTGATGAGAATCAACATCCAAAGTCATGGTCTTCAGTCAGAAAAGGGTGGAGTACCCACTGTGGGTACTGCAGTTTGTGTGTGTGGCTAGGTCTGTGTCTCTGGCTCACTGAGCCTTGGTCCCTCTGGGACATTGTTTTTTGGGAGGGGGGCGGGCAGGCATTCCACTCCCTGTTGTTTCACGTTGGTCATTGGAGGGGGGCTCTCTGTTGCACGGTGGGGGCTCCCCCAGGTGTCGTGCCATTCTCAAGGGGTCTGGGAGTAAGGGCCCACCCATAGCTTGTGCTGGGTGGCCATCCACCCGCTGCCTCTGGCCCCTGTCACACCTACCCTTGACTGTGGGAGCTCTGTCCATAGTTCCTTGGTTGGAGTACGGTTGTCATCGGAATGTGTGGCCTTGGGTCTTCAGCGGCTTTCTTCTGTCTTTTACCAACCTGGCCTTGACCCAACATAATATCCATAAAAATAATACTATTAATACTAAAAGAAAAAAGATTAACAAGAGAGCCTTCAGAGAATCCAGTACTGTTTTTGTGAAAACAAATGTATTTGGTACAACAACGCATTCGGATCATGCCTGCCAGACAGGATCGGTGTTTTACCAAAACAAAAAAAATTATGTCCTTCCTGCACATTAAACACTGCTTTATTCAATAGCTCTAACATTAGCAATATCCTGTCTCAGAGTGATGCTGAAAAACTAGTTCATGCATTTATTATTTCTAGGTTGGACTACTGTAATTCATTATTATCAGGATGTCCTAAAAACTCCCTGAAAAGCCTTCAATCGTTCCAAAATGCTACAGTAAGAAAACTTACAGGACTAAAAAGAGAGAGTATATTTCTCCCGTACTGGCTTCTCCTCTTTGGCTCCTGTTAAATCCATAATCAAATTTAACATAATCAACATTTGCCTTGTGATATATGTGAGCATAACTAAGACAAATCCTTGTCAGCGTTCCTGTTAAAGTGGCTACAATACAACATGTTTTGTACAGGATACATGTTTCTTTACACATGTTCTGATTGGTGCATTTTCTTCTTTTATGTTCCCCTCTCCATCCTGTGGTGGTTTCTCATGCTCACATTGTTCTTCAGGATATCAGGAACACAGTGGGGAACATTCCTATGGAGTGGTACAAAGATTTCCCTCACATTGGGTACAATCTGGATGGGAAAAAAATCTACAAGCCAATAAGGAACAAGGATGAGCTTGATGACTTCTTGGATAAGATGGAGAACCCGGAGTACTGGTGAGCAGTTAGCATGATGCTAACTTCTTCATAGGTTTGATAGGGAATGCTGATGAAGCTAACAGGTTGCTGTCTGCAGGAGAACGGTGCATGACAAGCAGACAGGAAGTGACATCGTGCTGTCCGATGATCAGGTGGAGCTGGTGAACCGTCTGCAGAGAGGACAGTTTGGAGATGTCAACTTCAATGAGTATGAGGTATGCTCTCACAGAGTGACACTGGGGTTCTGTTCACTAGCCTCGCATTTACCTGCTTGATCCACCCTTTAGTAACCACATGTCCCAGACCAGCTAGAAGAAGTGAGTGTGGCTTAAAAATGTAGAACACGCTGGCTACCTGTCTCTTTACCCCTCTTCCGCAGCCAATGGTAGAATTCTTCAGCAGCGACGTGATGATTCATCCCGTCACCAACAGACCTGCAGACAAACGCAGCTTTATCCCCTCGCTCACAGAGAAGGAGAAGGTAATGCACCCGACTCACTTGGCTTACCTGGCTGTTCTCAGCTGTCTGTAACTCACCTGTGTGACTTGCCTGTCTGCAGGTGTCCAAACTGGTCCATGCCATAAAAATGGGTTGGATCAAACCCAGGCGGGTAGAGGATGATGGCAGGGGGCGGTATTACAACTTGTGGGCCAGCGAAGACTCTTCCATTCTGGCCAGACATAAGATGCACCTGCCCGCCCCCAAAATCCCTTTACCTGGTCACCATGAGTCCTACAACCCACCGCCCGAGTATCTGTTTACTGACGAGGAGGTTTGTCAATGCGTTGCCTCACCTGGTTTCTGTTCAGAGGATAGATGCATTCAAAGACACATTTTTCTTCCCCCCCGGTCTGTCTGTCCTCACTTGCTTCACCTGTCTGCAGCGAGCACTGTGGGAGCAACAGGATCCAGCAGACAGAAAGTTGCCGTTTGTTCCAAGGAAGTACTCGAGCCTCCGTCAGGTTCCAGCATTTTCTCAATTCATCCACGAGAGGTTTGAGCGCTGCCTGGACCTTTATCTGTGCCCACGACAGAGGAAGATGAGGGTAACCTTTCTCAGTCTGTCCTACTACCTAAAGCTGGAGCTGCCCTTTTAGGCATGCAGTTTAAATAATTTCCTGTTTGTCTGCATGTAGGTGAATGTGAATCCAGAGGATCTGATTCCCCAACTTCCCAAACCAAAGGACCTTCAGCCATTTCCCACCACACGGTCGCTGGTACAGCACACACACCTGAACACATTCACACAAACAAAGTGGTGAACACTTTCTCACATCTTTTATCTGTGTGTTCAGGTCTATCGAGGTCACAGCGGTCTGGTTCGCTCTATCAGTGTGTCTCCATCGGGACAGTGGCTTGCCTCAGGTAACCTCAGCTTGTCCCACTCACACATCAATAGAAACTGTTGACATCGTGACTGAGTGGTGTAAAGCTCACAGTGAGAGTCAAGTGTTTGATCCCAGGCAGGGTTGTTGACCGACCAGTCTACACACCTGCACCACAGAGTGTGTAAACGATGCAGGCAGCTTCATTGATTGAGTCTCAAGATGAGCATTCTGTTGTTACTGTTTTAAAACCAGACATGATGACAGTTCCACACAGAGACTTCAGCCTGATAATCTCAAATTGTGTCTGTGCACAAAGCAGCTTTATTCTGTGTGGTCTTATCCGTTTACACTTTCCTTGGTGTATTTATTGGAAAGGCGGAGTCCAGTCGTCTTTGAATTAGTATCAGGAAATAAGTATTTGATTCAGGAGTCTGTGTTTTGTAAAGACCGACTGTACTGCCACAGAGTATCCATGATAATGCTTTCCACGACTCTGTCTTTGAAATTCTTCCTAAAAACAACCTGCTTTATTTATTTATTTATTTTTAAACTCCATATTCATTTTTATCTTCTTTTCTTTGAGTTTTCTGTGTTGTGGTCAGAGCACTTACTGAAAACCCAGTTTGAAGGTGATGTTTAAATAAAACATGCATCCTTTGGATGAGTTCATTGAGTGTGGGCGGGACTGTAATCTCTCTCCTCCCTGTTCACAGGAAGTGATGATGGCTCTGTCAGATTCTGGGAGGTCTGTTCGTCTCGTTGTATGAAGACGGTCCAGGTGGGCGGAGCTGTGAAGAGCGTTGCCTGGAACCCAAATCCGTCTGTCTGTTTGCTGGCTGTTGCCCTGTGAGCACCTCTCTGTCTCTCTCTCTCTTTCTCCGTCTGCCTGTGACATTCAGTTTTATTTGTATAGCACAACATCACAACAGCATTTGCTTCATGGTGCTGTGCATTCTAAGGTAAAGATCCTACAGCAGCAGTGGGGGCAACTCCAGGTCCTGCAGGTTTTAGATATTACCCTGGGTCAGCACACCTGAATCACATGATTACGGTAGTTCGTTCTCAAGCCTCTGGAGAATTTAGCCATTTGAATCAACTGTGTTGGATCAAGGACTCATCTAAAACCTGCAGGACACTGGCCTTCGAGGCCTGGAGTTGCCCACCCCTGTCCTACAGTAATACAAAGAATATCCCATCAATCACATAACCCCTGGAGCGAGATGGGGATAAATATGTCATATGACGAAGAGAGCATGTATTAATAATTTAATTCAGTGATTTCTAATGTTGTTTTTTTGTTGTTGTGGACATCCAACTTTATGAGCACGATTGTAACGTAACTAAGGAAGGATTCAGGGTCACCTGATCCAGACCTAACTATATGCTTTATCAAGAAGAAAACTTTTAAGCCTAATGTTAAAAGTAGAGTGTTTCTCTCTCCTGAATCCAAACTGGGAGCTGGTTCCACAGAGGGAGATCTGAAAGCTTAAGGCTCTGCCTCCCATTATACTTTTAAATACTCTAGAAACAAGCAGGATTTTAAACTCTTCCCTCCTCTCCCACTGATGTGATCCTGTCCCTCTGTTTCTCTCTGGTTTCAGGGACTCTGTGGTCTTGATCCTGTCTCCCTCTCTGGCAGATAAACAGGTCATCTTGTCGTCAGAACGACTCCTCAGCGCCCAGCAGGAGGGGGAGGAGCCAGCAGAAGGAAATGGGTCTGTTGTCTGGAGCGAGGCTGAGGGGGAAGAGCTAAACCAGGGGCTCCGCCTCAAAATCCAACACCCCAAAGTGAGAAAACCACCTGATTGGTTTATTTATTCATTTGTTTTTAAACCCCCCCACTCTGATCTTCATTGGGCCTAATCGCTGTTGATCTCTGCAGGCTGTTCACCAGGTGGTGTGGCATGCTAAAGGAGACTACCTAGCATCAGTGATGCCAGATAACACAAGCCACCTGCAGGTGTATATCCACCAGCTGAGCCGGAGGCGGAGTCAGAACCCCTTCAGCAGGAACAAAGGCCTGGTCCAGTGCGTATCCTTCCACCCAATCAGGCCCTATTTCTTTGTGGCCACACAGCGCTCGATCCGCATCTACAACCTCGTCAAACAAGAAATGACTAAAAAACTCCAAACCAACTCCAAGTGGATCTCCAGCATGGCTGTCCATCCAGGAGGTAACCACACCCCAGTCCCCCACACACAAGTCTTAAAGGCTCCAATAAACCCGCCGCAATGGTCGTTTCGCTCACCGCAGTCGCTTTGTCCTAAAGTCATCTGTATTTATACGAGCAGTATTCTCTTCACAGCTGTCCCACCTGTCTGTTCGTGTGTCTGCAGGTGATCATGTGATCTGTGGGAGTTATGACTGTAAGCTGAGCTGGTTTGACCTCGATCTGTCAACTAAACCCTACAAGATGCTCCGGTACGTACCTGCCAGTCACTCTGATCATCTGAGTTTAACCCTTTTAGACATGAGCTGTAAACATTACCGCTTTGTTAATTGTTACAATGGAAGCAATGTCTTGCTCAGCTACAGGTGACCTTGAGTGCTCCTGTCTTCGTTCAGACCTGATCTCCAGAATGGGGGTCAGGGTTTCTTCAAATGGTGGCTGTACTTAGTAACTCTCAAGGTTACAAATATTGCAGGTTTATGCAGTCCCCTACAGAAGGTGGTGTTGTTAGAGTGATTATCTAACACAGCTTGACTAGACTTTGTCAGAAGTTATAAATTAAGTAGATTCACAGACAGCTGCATCAATGCTGAGTAAAGGGAAAGCACAGGTGGGTTAAGAGTTAACAAGTGAATATTTTTAAGATTAATTACAGATTTGGAGGTTTACTGCTCTTTACACACCTAAATTTAACAAGTGTTTTGTGAGTTTGAGTTGTCCTGGGTAATTGCCATCACTGTTTATGCTCTCTTTATATTAGACACTATACAGCTGGTATGAAAGTGGAATTCAGTGCATGAATCTAAAATAATTCATATCTGCTACATTTGATGTGCCTAACTCTGACAATGAAACCACAACCACTGCGCAACAGTCACACAAGCTGTGACTGTTATGAAAATCACAATGTCACATGTATAGACCTAAGCACTCAGCTGGCAGATGATACTACAGTTTTCCTCAAAAGGTCAGAACAAATCCCTCTTGTCATCAATAAAATCCACATATTTTCTGAAGTGTCTGGTTTACATTTAAACCCTAAGAAAAGTGTGAATTACTCTCTATTCAGAACTGCCATGTAGTTTATTTGTATGGTATCCCGGTTTTAAAATGATTATAGCTCTTTATTTTATTTTATAATGCTCCCTCTTGTGTTCAGCTTGTATTTTTCACATTTTATACATTGCTGCCAACAGAATTTTGCATAGCCAGAGCTGATTTGTACATAAAGCAGCATTGTTTAAATTGACAAAAAAAAAAGATCTGCAGTGCCTTCAAAGCGCAGCAGGTGCAGCAGTTCAGGAAATGAGATTTCAGTCAGACGTGCAAGGTGAGGAGTTTAAATCCTGCTGAGCAAACAAAGACCTTACCTGAGTCTCACCTCAAACAAATCAGAGCTGTGATTGGTTCAGAGTGGTCTCAAAGCATGTGTACTCAATCATGACGCTGACATTGGTGTGTAATCATTGATTGTAGAATACTACATATTGATCAGATGTTTTCTTTTGTTTGTTTGTTTTTAATCATTTATCATGTGGTATGGGTCACCTTCTCTCTGCAGACACCATAAGAAAGCAGTGAGGGGTGTGGCCTATCACAGACTGTACCCGCTGTTTGCCTCGGCGTCTGATGATGGCTCAGTGATAGTCTGTCACGGGACTGTTTACAAGTAATACACACACACACACACACACACACACACACACACACACATACTTATTTTTCCTCCTCTCAGTTACACTCTAACCCCTCCTTGCTACCTCCACAGTGACCTTTTGCAGAATCCACTCATCGTCCCAGTGAAAGTCCTCAGAGGTCATGTGATGACTCATGATCTTGGTGTTCTGGATGTGACCTTTCACCCCACGCAACCCTGGGTCTTCTCCTCTGGCGCTGATGCTACTATCTGCCTCTTCACATAGCAACATGCTTAGCAACCACAGATGCCGTTTTTCTAATGTTTTTACTTTCAGACACAATGTCTTAACATGTGACACCATGAGTCCTTGCCTCACTGGTCTCCTTGCTGTGATGTCAGTTCCTTTTTGAATAAACTGAACTGTTTTTGAGTGTATGTGTGTGTGCTGTCAGTCTGGTGAAAGGAGCTGATATTGATCAGCAGTGTGACATCCCTTTCCTGTCTAGGGCCATTAAAGATGAATAAAAACATGCATAATTGGCTATTTGTGGGTGATCGATCAGGTTTAAGATGTTAAGTTCAGATATCATGACAGCGATATTTACAGAGTTAGCTGAGGAGCCTGGACCCCCTGTGAACTCCGCCCATCTCACCACAGTTATTCTAGTTTTAGATTTGCTTGTTAGCTTGTTTTGAATTAGTTTCTGGAGTGATGATCCAGATCTGTCTGGGTTTTATTTATATTTCAGTGAGAAATTTTCACTCATGTAGTTTTTAGTTCACCGTATAATCAATATGATATGAACAGATTTGTTCAGTTCAGTTTGATGAAGTATTTGATCTAAGATCTAATTAAAACTTGAGAAATTTGCAGTGCAGATGTTTACAAAAATTAAAATTTCTAAGAGATTTAATGAAAAACAAGTCTTTTCTGATGATTTATGGTGCTGAGCAGAAGGAGTTAAGCTGAGTGAATGGGGACTGTATACTAAAGTAGTTATTCTCTGAAAATCTAAGCTAGCTAACAGGTTCAGAGGTCAGTTTGTTTCTCTCATAGTGTTTTGCTGTAAACGGTGTCCTCCTTTCATGAAGGATGCAGCGTCTCTAATGTAGGAGGTAACTAAGGGAGCACTGAAGCTAATTTCTTGTGGCGGCAGCAAAGTGAAATTAGCAGTTAGACCCCAGTCTTACTGTTACTTTGTCGATGCTTTTAATTTGAAAGTCCCCTTAGCGGATTTGGCGTCAGCCCGTTTCCCTTGGAGCTCTTTCAGTGTAACACCCGATCATGAATCGGAGACTCGTTCCGACGCGCGAGGACTGCGTGTACACGAGCTGCTACTGGTGAGTCCCGACATACCTGCAACAGGTGACGTGCAGGCTCTGTGTCAGAACATTACTTGGCTCCTGAGAATTGTAAACACACGTCTGGTCAAAGCAGCTGCAACTACAATGATTGGCTAGTTCAGATTTCCGTTTAATTTTTAGCGCAGTTTCTTTAAATTTGTCAGTGAGAGAATAAAAATCACAAGAACATTTAAAGGAATAATAATCCTCCTTTAAACAGTGTTAATATCAGGTTATCAACAAACATACAACCGAACTGTATCGAGGCTTCGAAAAAATGTGAAACCCATGTCCACAGTGACATCTGCTGGTCAGTTTGAGTATCGCCCCATCTTGTTTAAAGGCCCTTTCATTTATTTTTTATTTTTTTACAGGTCAGTGATCAAACCTTTATCAATATGATTGTTTCCTGCAGTAAATTGCTATGGTAACATACAAATCCACACATTCATTATCAATTTACATTAAGAATGAATACAACAATCATACTAACAACTTTCTTCTTATATGTGTATCTGTTGCTGTGTGTTAGTTGCAGAGCTATTGCCGCTCTTGCTTCAGTTTGTTTATATCAGCGCTCCTGATCACGTGGCGTGTGCTGCGCTCACTGCTAACTAGAGTGAAGGACCCAAAATATGAACATTTGCATCCTCGAAAGAGTGACCTTTGTCCTCTTAGATGCCGAGTCTTGTCCCGTGGAGATGGCTCTTCTGTGTTGTGCCATGCGTTTATGAAGTGGCTGTTTGGTCTCTCCAATGTAGAGGTCTGGGCATTCCTCGCTACACTGTACAGCATACACATTGTTAAGTTTGTGTTTAGGAGTTTTGTCTTTGGGATGAACTAGTTTTTGTTTGAGTGTGTTGCTGGGTCTGAAGTAAACTGGGATGTCGTGCTTGGAGAAGACTCTCTGGAGTTTTTCTGATACACCGGCTACGTAGGGAATGACAATGTTGTTGCATTTTTCTTTCTTATCCTCCTTAGCTGGTGCCTGATCTTCTTTTCTGTGCATCTTTGCAGACTTGATGAAAGCCCAATTAGAATAACCGCTTGTTTTAATAGCTTCATTAACATGTGTGTGTTCCTTCTTTTTCCCTTCAGGCTTAGAGGGAACATTTTCTCCCCGGTGGTGTAGGGTCCTGATTACTCCAAGTTTGTGTTCCAAAGGGTGATGGGAGTCAAAGAGGAGGTACTGGTCCGTGTGTGGGGGCTTCCGGTAAACTTCAATGTTGAGGTTTCCATTCTCTCCAATGCGCACGACACAGTCCAGGAAAGGCAAACAGTTATCCTTTGTGTCTTCCCTGGTGGACTTGATGTTTGTATCCACAGTGTTTATGTAAGCAGTGAACGATTCCACTTCTTGTGTTTTGATTTTGACCCAGGTGTCGTCTATATATCGGTACCAGTGGCTGGGTACTCTTCCTTTGAAAGAGCCAAGAGCCTTTCTTTCCACTTCCTCCATGTAAAGGTTGGCTACAATGGGTGACACCGGGGAGGTCATGGCACAGCCATGTTTTTGCCTGTAGAAACCCTCATTGTATTTAAAATATGTTGTGGTAAGGCAGAAGTCTAACAGTGTGCAAATCTGATCGGGGGTGAAGTTGGTCCTGTCCTCCAAGGAGCTGTCTTCTTGTAGTCGTTTTCTGACAGTCTCCACGGCCTCCGTGGTGGGTATGCAAGTGAAGAGAGAGACTACATCAAAGGACACCATGGTTTCATCTGGATCCAGGGTAAGTTTCTGGACCTTGTCGGTGAAGTCAGTGGAGTTCTTGATGTGATATGGGGTGTTCCCCACCAGAGGTGCTAAAATGGTAGCTAGGTGTTTTGAAATGTTGTAAGTAGCTGAGTTTATGCCGCTAACAATGGGTCTGAGTGGGACAGCTTCTTTGTGGATCTTAGGAAGTCCATAAATGCAGGGTATGGCATCCCCTGGGTTTAGGCGATGATATAAAGGGCAGTCAATGATTTTGTCCTTTTCAAGGTCTTGAAGGCAAGCTATAACTTTCTTTTTGTGGCTGCTTGTGGGGTCTCGCTTTAAGGCTTCGTAGGTATTTTTGTCACTGAGGAGAGTAGTGATCTTTGTGTGGTAATCTGTAGTGTTTAGGACCACGGTGCACCTTCCCTTATCAGCTGGTAATATGGTGATGTTGTGGTCTTTGCTCGGGGAAGCGACGGCCTTCTTTTCTTGTATTGTGAGGTTAGACGGAGGGACTTTGGCACTGGAGAGGGTGGCTGAGACTTTCATCTTGATTTGCTCTGCTTCTGTCTGTGATAATTTATTAATCCGTATGGCGGTTTCTGTGGCTGTGATGAGGTCCACTGTGGGCAACTGTTGAGGAGAAATGGCAAAATGGAGTCCTTTGGCTAGCACTTTCTTTTCAGGTTCAGTGAGATTCCGGTCTGAAAAGTTCTTCATCCCTTTTTCCTGACTGTCCTCAGGTGTGTGTTTTTCTCTGTGTTGTGTAGGTTCTGACTGAGGAGTGAATGTTTTTGATAGCAATGTGTGGAATTGGAATTGGAGTTAAAGACTTGGTGAAACATTTTCTATTAGCCATCAATAAAAACGATCAGATGGATCAGCAGGACACACTAATCCTTCAGAACTTTCAGGAAGCCCTACAGGCTGACTGTCTGTTGCCCTTCTGTCTGTTCTTGTTCTGCAGTGAAGAAAATGTCTGGAAACTCTGTGACTATGTCAGAAAACAGAGAACCGCACCGCTGGAACATCTGTTTGTGATCTTCATCTCCAATGAGACGAGAACGGTGAGAACCAAATGCCAGTATAATGTCAGATTTAAAATGAAGATGATGGATTTTGTAATTGTATCATCAGATCTGCTGCTCTATGTCAATTAACTCACCACCGTCTGGTGGTGAGTTGGAGCATGTGGTGGGGAAACATTTTATTACAGCGATTGGAACATGCTTGTAGGTATTAAACATAATGCGCAGCAGTGGTTTGAATCATATCTATGTAATAGATTCCAATTTGTTTATGTACATGGACAGTCCTGTCCACAGACGTCGCCAAGATTAATTATGGAGTTCCACGGGGTTATGTGATAGGAGCATTAAAAGGCATAGCACATATTTTCTCTGCTATGCAGATCACACCTAACTTTATCTCCCCATGAAGCCAGATAAAACAGACCAATTAGTTAAACTGCAGGAATGTCTTAAAGACCTGGATGACCTCTAACTTTTCAGCTTCTGAATTTAGATAAAACTGAGCTCATTGTACTTGCCCTAATAATAGAAATATGGTATCTAACAATATGCTTACTCTGGTTGGCATTACCTTGGTCTCCAACACTGTGAGGAATCTTGGAGTCATTTTTGACCAGGATATATCCTTCAGCATGCATATTAAACCAATACGTAGGACTGCTGTCTTGCACTTCAAGAAGTGGCTAAACTAGCTGCTAAATGTCATGATCTAGAGTCCAGATTGACGCAACAGCATACGGGTACACAGAATTCCTGAGGGGTCTGGAAGAAATGACAGCATAGGATTCGTGACAAAATTTTTTTGCTCATTGCTGAAGATTGCCAAGAATGTAAACACACACAGTGAAAGGGCCCATTATTGTTTGCTTCCTGGAGTACCAGTTTAAAAAGCACATAATATGGCAGGCATAGAAACAAAAAGTAACATATGAAGGTCTTAAGTTAATCACGACTATACCAAAGAAATACAGAAAAAGAGGAAACCGGTCTGAGAGGTTATGAAGAAACTATTATTGTATATACTTTACAATATAAAGTGCCTTCAGGCAAATGTTGTTGGGATTTGTCACTATATAAATGAAACTGAATGAAATGCGTCTCCTTCAAAGAGTTGCTGGGCTCTCTCTTAGAGATAGAGTTTGATTATTCATGAGGGACTCAGAATACAGCCAACTGCTCCTCCATGAGCCAGTTTGAGGTAGTCCGGGCATCCTGCAAGGATGCCTCCTGGATAACTCCCAGGTGAGTTATTCTGCGCATGAAATGCTAGGAGGAGGCAAATTACATTTCAGAGCTGGGTTAGAAACATCTCAGCGTCCCCCTGGATAAGCTAAAGGAGGTGGCTTGGGTGAGGGCTTCTCTGTTCAGACTGCCGCACCATGACCCGAATGCGGATAAGTGGCAGAAAATGGATTAAAGGATGGTTCTGTGAAACACCTGTCATGCTCTTTTAGACATCTGTCATTTAAGTTTTACATATATAGCACCAAATCGCAAAAACAAAAGGTGCCTCCAAACAAAAGGTGCTTTATATTCTTGGGTAAAGACCCTACAATAACACATGAACTTAAAAACTAAAAACATCCACTTGGTTTTTTAGGTTTTTTGAAACATCTCAGGTGAGGTTCTAAAGCTGATGTTCTGTATTTGTTCTCCTTTGAGGTTCCTCTGTGGAAGCAGAAGTCTGGACACGGAGACCTGCCGGTTATCTGGGTTTGTGATGTCACTGTTAATACTGTGAGAGCACAGACATAAACACAAATGATGTCAAAATGACATTAAAGATAACATCGTTGTTTCAGGACTACCATGTGATCCTGCTGCAGGCAGATCAATCGGACTCTCTAGTGTATGATCTGGATTCAACGCTCTCGTTTCCCTGCAGCCTGAAGCTTTACGCTGCCCAAGCCTTACGCTCAGAGAGTGACATCAGACCAGAATACCACAGGTAAGACACAGCTGAGCATCATGACAGGAAACTACACACACCTGAGTGACATCATAGTTACAATTTCCCCTTCTCTCTGCCAGGAAGTTTCGTGTGGTTCCTGCTGACAGCTTCCTGTTGAACTTCGCATCTGATCGATCTCACATGAGGAACTCTGATGGATCGTGGAAGATGCCTCCCCCTACGTACGCCCCTATATGCACTGCAGGTTACATGACTTCCCAGTTATTAGCGTGTGTAATCGCGTGTACCATGTAGTTATGATGTCATCATACTGGGCTGCGTTTTCCCCTCAGAGTGCCAGATGAACCTAGATGGTTTCATCAACATGGACCCTGCCATCTGCTGGGGTGTGGTCTTCAGCCTTAACCACTTCCTGCAGAGATACATTGGAAGCACCTCATCAGCCTCATCCTCTTCTTCATCAGCAGCAAGATCGTCGTAGTTGTGGTTTTGAGGGGTTTTTTTCGATTGTGGGCTCCAGATGTTTGAAGTGGAATGAAGAGTCCTCCTGCCAGCTGCTGTCCCACATGACCATGTGAAACGAAATTGGTTCTTGTAACTGTTCACCGTTGTCCCACCCCCTTATAAAATGCAAGATATTTTGATAGTTGTTCAGCCAAAAACCATCGATGTACATATGAACATATTGATCATTTGATGACTTATTGGTGAACTTGTTGATCAGAAGAGTGCTTTCACCCCGATCAATAAAACTCTCCATAATGTCTTTGAGCATCTTCAATTCACTGTTAGAATTTAAAAATAAGGAAACAGTAGTAGGTTTCTGTTTGTTTGGGGTACAGTTGGTATGTTTAACATAATTGTCAGTTTCCAGAAATAACATCAGAGGTTTTTGACATCTGCTGCGCCGTTGTCGGGTAGACTAGTGCAGGATTTAGGGACAGCGTTGATGTAGTTCATCACTTGGGCCGCTACAACGAAAATCAGAAGTCAAGGTTGGTTATCATTCGGTTTTCAACAAGATCAGCTTGCGACCAGATCTGGAGAAAAGCTAAAAACTACACCTTCCTGAAGAAAAATACCTACAAATTTTTTACTCTAGAATCCAAATAATAAAGATGAACGTTCTCCCAAGATTGCTTTACATGTTTCAATCAGTCCCACTTTCTATACCTCAAAGTAAATTTAAAATATGGGATAAGATGATGTCAAGGTTTATATGGGATGGGAAGAAGCCCAGAACAAGGTTAACAACATTTCAACTCCTGAAGTGTAAGGGAGGGATGGCTTTGCCTAACCTAAGGGAATACTTTTACGCAGCCCAATTTAGACCTCTTGTTTGTTGGTGTAGACCAGAATATGAGGCACAGTGGAAGGAAACTGAGAAAGAAATTGAGGGAAACAAAATTCAAATTTTTATCTCTGACAAACAATTAATGACCTCTTACAAAAGTAGAATGAATCAAATTGTGAAATTTACATTAGACATATGGCACACAGTAATAGAAAAACATCAGTTAAAAGAACAATTATTTTTGCTGAGATGGTTTAGACATGATAAAAAATTTAAGCCGGGACAATTGGACCAAACATTCAAACAGTGGGAGTTAAAAGGGATTACAGCAGTTTTTACTCTAATGAAAAATGGAACACTAATGAGTTTCCAACAACTAAAAAATAAATACAAATTGGAAAATAGAGATTTTTTTTTAGATATCTGCAAGTAAGGGACTATTGTGTAAAGCAAATAAAGACTGAATGGCTTGAAAAACCATTGGGTGTTATTGGACTAGTAAATAATTGCTATGAACATAAACAATTCAAAGCAATTTCCACCTTCTATAGATCTTTAGAAGAAGATAGACAGGACACAACCTTTTACCTTAAAAAGAAATGGGAAGCTGAACTTGCCGTAACTATAACAGAGAAGGAATGGGTCAGTATGTGTGAAATACAACACAGCACAATGAATTCGCCGTTGTGGAGGGAATTTTGCTGGAAAAATTTGACGCGTTTTTTCATTACATCCAAAATAAAAAGTAAACAGATCTCAAGTCCACAGAGATGTTGGAGACTGTGTGGAGAAACAGAAGCAGATCATTCACATGTATCCTGGAAGTGCATAAAAATTAAAAAGTATTTGGAAGACCTTAAAATGACCATAGATAATAATCTGGGTTATGCACTCCTAAACACCTGTCAAGTGATGTACCTTGGAAACATAAAGGAACAGATACAAAAGGAGGACTTATATCTGGTAAAAATAATTCTAGCCAGAACTAAAAAAGCAATCAGAAAGAAGTGGTTACACCCAGACCCTCCTACTCAACAAGATTGGATTAGGATTGTAGAGGGTATCTCAGAGATGGAAAAAAATCACATTCAATATTAGACTGATGGGATGTAAAGATAGACAATGGAGGAAGTGGAAAGCATTCCGAAGTGGCACCAAAAACACAACATAAAAAGAAATTTGGTGGAAAAAGAAATGTAAACTCCAGACTGCATATATGTTCGTTTGTTTGTAATTTTCTTTACTGTATCGTTTTAAATGTTAACTAAAACTAATAAAAAATTAAAGGTGAAAAAAAAAGAAGAACAAATTTAATGAGAATGTTATACACTCTGAAGTATACCCCAGTAGGTCATTATGTGTTAGAATTTACCATCAGTGTTGATAATGTCTTTCTTCTTGCCAATCTATACAGTTTTAACTCTAAGTCAGAAAAATACTTTTTGTTGGACGCCCCAGAAACATGCTTTTTGTTCTGATTATCAAATACCCTGATCTTCTGTTATTAGTGTGAGGTGACTTTAATATAATAGATCCTTCCTTAGACAGATGCCCACCTTGCTCAAATAACTCTGCTATAAATACATTTATGCAAAAAATTCTTTTAATAGACATTTGGAGAGTTAAGAACCCTAAAGCCAAACTGTACATGGAATAATAAATCCAGCTCTTCTAAATCCTGTATTGATTTCTGATTAGTCCCTGATTGCTTAGATAAGAATAACATAATAGTCAATATAATGCCAACTCAACTTACAGAACACAAAGCGGTATCACTTCAGGTTTCTTTAAGTCTTCATGCTGCCCAAGCGCGTAGGAGCTGCTACTAGAAACCTAATAATTCCCTTCTAAAACACGAGACAGGGATTGAAGATATTCTGTTATTGATTAAATGTTTCTGGGATAAATCCCTAGCCAGTCATGTTTACTGTCAAAACTGGGAGCTTTTCAAATTTGAAGCTGCTAAATATTTGAGTATGGCTTTTCAACAGCAAAACAAAGGAAAACTGAAGGAATTAATGTAGTTACAAGGATAACTGCTCCAGAACCGATCGGAAGATGATGAGATTGATTTAGTTTTGCAACAGAATAAATTAAATGACATTTATAAATTGAATGCGGGAGGCTTTATGAGATCAAGGAGACAGATGGTGGTTAGAAGAAGGCAAACAACACTCATCTTATTTTTTTAAACTAGAGAAATCTCTGTTTGGAGACTTAATATTGTTCCAAATTTTATAAAGCTTTATACAAGTCAGATTATAATGAGAGTGCTGCTCTGAACAACTCTCTGATTCGCAAACTATAAAGGAAGATAAGACGAACTTCTGCGATAGGCCAATACCTGTTGGTGAAGTTCTACCTGCTATTCAACGTCTTAAACTTAATAATTCCCCAGAAACAGATGACTTAATCTCTGAATTCTACATTACTTTTGCAGATCAACTAGGCCCATTTCCTCTTAATGTGTACACTGAAAGACTCATAAATCAGTTCGTCCAACCCTCCACTTTATCAGAAGGTCTGTTAACACTGATTCAAAAGCTAAAGAAGGATCCTGTTTATTTTGACAACTGGAGACTGATCTGCCTTCTTAACGATGAGTATTAGATCCAGCTCAGATCTTTGCCAAAAGACTGAAAGCTGTTTTAAATTATATTACTGATGAAACTCAGACTGGCTTTATGGCTAACAGACACATATCCAACAACATTAGACTTATTCTTGACCTCATTGATTATGCAGATTTTTGTAGGGTTGATAGTTTTATCTTATTTATAGATTTCTGTAAAGCGTTCAATACTATTGAACAGTTTTATTTTTCAGGCTTTGGGCAAATTTGGTTTTGGCCCTTATGTTCAGAATGCTATTTAAACAATGTACAAAAATGCTAATTGTTCCATCAAATTACATGCAGGTACATCCTTTAGGTTTAAGTTGAACCGTAGTATCAGGCGAGGTTGCCCCATCTCCCTATATTTGTTTCTCATCTGTGCTCAGCTCCTCTCTGACTATATTAAACGTAGTCCCCTGAAAGGCATTACAATTGCAGAAAAGAAAAATTCATTAGTCAGCTTACTGATGATGCCACCCTCTTTTTAAAAAGTGCTTCACAGGTGCAGATAGACATTAACACAACTGATGCTTTTTCTGTAGCTTTCAGCACTCCACTAAAACATCGGTAAATGTGAACTGCTTGCCCTCAGAAACTCTACCAGTCCCTCTATTGCTGGCATTCCAGTGAAAGAGTCGATCACTTACCTTGGTAATTAATAAAAGTCAAACCACCAGATACTTCTTCAATTTCAATCCAGTTTGACATAAAACACAACAAAAAACTAAATTCTTGGCTCCAACAGGATTTATCTCTGAAAGGCAGAGTTTTACACACCAAAGCGGAGGGATTATCTCGATTGACTTATGCTGCTTTGTCTCTTGATGTAAATAAAGAAACCCTGGTGGATATTGACAGACTCCTTTATAAGAATACAATACATTATATTAAGGGAGCAGTTTATCCAACTCATACCAACATGGTGGAATAAACTTTCTTGACTTTTCTACAGTAAACAATGTGTTTAAAGTAAACTGGATCAAACAATTTCTCAGGAACCCAACATCAATTTGGAACTTTATTCCAAATTAAAAAAATAAATAAATAAATTTTAGTCTTTGTTTTATTTTGTAATTACAATATTGATAAAATCCCCTTAAAACTGTCCAACTTTGCCAACGACCAGATGCTTCTTTCCTGGTCGTTGCTTTATAAACACAACTTTTCTCTGCACAGATACTATATTTGGAACTATATCTACATATAGATATAGATATATATATCTATATATAGATAGATATAGATATATACACACATACATATCCTGTTACCTCTGTTACGCAGATCTATTTTCCCACTATAAAGAAGAAAAACAACCCTGGCATAAGAACTCTGTTTCAGAAAGACAGAACTTGTGTCCCAATGGCTGTTGCTTACTGGAATAATTTATACTAGGACCTGGAATGGAAGAAAATTTGGACCATACCATTGAAATTCCTGTTAACCAAGAAATTAAAGGAAATATCTTTTAAAATTATTCATAGTTTTTAACCCACCAGAACCTTTCTTGTACGATATAAAAAGACATTGATGCTAACTGTTTTTTTTTTTTTTTTAACTGCCAGAAGAAAGATATTTCTCTCTTATTTTGATCCTACTTATGCGTTAATCTTTTCTGGCAAGATGTTTGTGCTTTTGTTGTTTCTTTTATCTTATCTTTGTTACGGAAAAATATTGTTTGGCTTTTTTGATTGCACTGCAAATAGGTCAAACACATTTCATTTGATTAATTTGCTAATCTTAATGGCTAAATTTCATATACATGAATCCAAAATTTCTAATGCAAAACCGTCTTTTCAATGCTTTATAAATGAAAGCAGACAATATTTTAAAACTATACAACATTCTCATAATATAA